TTTTCTCCCTTTTAATCATTAGGTGGAAAGGCAGCAATACTCAATTTCACCATTCCCCTCTCTGCTTGATTTTTATAACTTAGATCACCTCCCCCCATAATTATGTCTTTTCTCTAGTTCTCTACAGAGTAAAGAAACAGCCTGTTCCAAAAAATCGGAGCATGAGCTCTTCTTCCTTCTTCCCCAGTTCTTGCCAGTTAGCTGTGCCTGCACTCTTTGTTCACCCCTGGGTAAATTCTCCTATGGTCCTTCCTGAAGGTGGTTTTTAAGTTTGACTTGTGCTTGCCTCCTGAGCCTGGTTTTTCAAGGCCACCAGAGAACCTCTCTGTGTCCTTGGACACTGCGCCTGTGGTTGAAGCAGTAGGTGCCACTTTCTTGCTGGTTGATGGCTTGGCTTGCCCATTCACGTGCTCCTTTGTTCCTATGTTCATGCACTCAGCACTAACTGAGCTTTCTGAAGTCAAAGGCCACATTCACCTCAACCAAGTCCAGATTCTTGCACCCAAAGGATACCTGGGAGACTCTGAAAAGATGAATGAAGTCAGCCAGTTAGAGTCCGCTGTACTCAGAATCGACTGAAGGCATCTTGTATGATTTCAAGGGCTCTAGGACATGTTTGCAAGAAACCAGCTCTCTGGAGTTGGTGGCTCTGTGCTCTGGGCTGATGGGAGTGGAAAGAGAATTTGGGGTTTCAGAGAGTCTAAAATATGAGTGTTGAATTTAGAAAAATACTTGTTTCACTGAGTACTTTGGTTGTAAAGAAGAAATGTGGGTTGCCCTGGGTGGTTAGGAAGAAGGGTTTTAAAATGGGTAGAAGGTCCACGACGGCATCATTGGCATCACTGGCTTGCATGACACCCATACACATGAACATGAAGACAGTCTGAGTGGAGGGAGGCAGAGGGAACAGTGAGCGTACTGATGTAGGGCTGAGGACTTGAATGGACATCACTCCAAGGGAGATGCACAGTAGGTTTACAATCACAGGAGGAGAGAAGAGGCCTACATCAACCTAAACTGCAGTGAAATGTGGCTTCAGCCCAGAGGATGGCTCTTACCTCAAAAACAGAAAATGAATATCGGTGAGAAAAACCCTTGTGTGTGCTAGCTGAAGGGTCAAGTGGTAGATTGCTGTGGCAAATGATCTGGTGGTCTCCCAAAAAGCGAACGTAGAATAAATGTGTGATGTAGAGACTTCACCCTCTGCATGCTCCAAACAGACAAAAGTGAGGTGGTGACATTTGCACGCCCCTGTCATCGCAACGTTCTTCACTAGACACACAGGGTTGGAAGAAGCCTCACACGCATTGATGATTAATCACCGGCAGCCAGGCCACACGGTAGAGTGCTACTCAGGGAGGTGATCTGGTGCAAACCGTGATAGGGTAAAAGTCAAGAGCATTTTGATAAATGAAACAAGCCAGTCACAGAGGGACTGATGACCCAAGGCTCCCAGAATAGTCCACTGCGTAGAGGGTGAATGCGGGAGAGTTGCCAGGGACCAGGGTAGGAGGTGGTGGGAAGGTAGTGTGCAGTGCGTTCAGAGGTTTCTTTTTTTTGGGGGGGGGGTTGAGACAGGGTTTCGCTGTAGCTTTGGAGCCTGTCCTGGACTATCTCTGTAGACCAGGCTGGCCTCGAACTCACAGAGAGCTACCTGCCTCTGCCTCCCGAGTGCTGGGATTAAAGACGTGCGCCACCACCGCCTGGCCAGAGATTTCTTTTGGGAAGACAAAGAAGGTTTTGCAGATGTGGGACGGTGACCATGTGTCAACAGAGTGATGTGCGATGCTAAGAACCTCTGCCCTGAAGGAATTAAAATAGTGACTTTGATAGGAGTATTTTCTCTCAGTAGATCATCCTTTGGGTTGAAGGGTTTTTTGTTTGTTTTGTTTTGTTTTTCAAATAAATCTAGTTTTTAAAGTTTAAAAATCAGTAAAAGAACTGGGACCATGTTCATTTCTTCTAAGCCCTGTTGCTGGTAGTTTACTGGATGGGCAAGGTTGCGCAGAGGGAAAAGAATATGTTTAGTGTGTTTCTTTCTTGATTCTTCATGAAACTCTAAGGAGGTCAGTATCAGTCACAAGGAGGTCAGTACCAGTCACTAGGAGGTCATAGTTAAGGACTAGTTATGTCCCCATTAATTGGTGGGCTGAGGCTGAAAATGGCAAGCCACAGTGCCATGCCATAGATCCATGTGCCAAACTGGATTTCCCGGGTGACTCCCACCTTCTCTCCTTCCATCCGGCATTGACTTTGCCAACTACCTCCCCCCACCAACAAGTCCTTTCTCTGATACGAGGGGCACACACGTAGTTTCCTTTGATTTTTTAAAAAGCCTAAGGGCTATGGCTGCCTCCTCATTGCAAAAAAAGTGAGTCGACAGAAGCAGTCAGCACAGGCCAGATCCACCTTGCTGGAATCTGAGGGAGGAGGGCTGTGCCGGCAAGTTTTATGTCACTAGAGAGGAAGAAGCCTCAACTGAGAAAATGCCTCAATAATATGGCTATCGGCAGGCCAGTAGGGCATTTTCTTAATTAGATATTGAATGTGAGAGGGCCCAGCCCATTTTGGTTGGGTCCACCCCTGGTCAGGTGGTCCTGGGCTCAATAAGAAAGCAGACTGAGCAAGCCATGAAGAGCAAGCCAGTAAGCAGCACCACCCCCCCCACACACACAAACACACACCATGGCTTCTGCATCAGCTCCTGCCTCCAGGTTGCTGTCCAGTTTGAGTTCCTGTCCTGACTTCTTTCAGTGATGGACCATGGTGTGGAAAGAGAAGGCAAATCAACCCTTTCCTCCCCAATTTGGTCATGATGTTTCATCACAGCAATAGTAACCTTACCTAAGACAAGGGCCGAAGGTAGGCACCTCTCTTTAGCAAACTCTTGGAAACATGGCATCCTTTCACTCTGACTAGGAGAGAGTGAGCCCTGACTCCAGCACTTCAGCACGAACTTGGAGGCCCCAACACAGCAACACCATGGCTGAGCCCGCACATAGTGCCCAACTTCTGTTTTCAGGGCTGCTTCTGGAAAAGTCCTTCAGGGGAGTGGTTAGAGCTGGGTATTCTGGGAGCCTTCTCTGTTCTTCTTTGGCACAGAATGAACATGTTCAGGGGCTGTTACTGCACTGCAACCATTGTTCACCTCCTTGGTCCTCCCTGGCATCATCCTGTTATGTGCCGATCTGTTTCCTCTGCTGCTGCTGGTGTTATGTCTGGGAGGCATGAAGATCTGCCTCCATGCTTCCCGCTAACAGTTCTATCTGTCAAGTTCCTTTTTAATAATTGTGTGTGTCTGTGGGTGGGTTTGTGCACGTGAGTGCAGGTGACTGAAGAGTTCAGAGAAGATGCTGAACTCCTTAGAGCTGGAGTTACAGGCAGATGTGAGTCACTAGGCATGTGTGATGGGAGCAGAACTCAGGTCCTCTGGAATACAGCACAGGCTTTTAACCGCTGCGCCATCTCTCCAGCCTGTAATACCTGCCAAGTCTGAATGTAAAAGATTGCATAATAAATGTTTCTGACTTGGCCAGCCATAGGAAGTCTCTGCTGCAGAGTCTTCTCTGTTTCTATTTTTTTTAAAACTCATTCCCTGTAAGAAATACAGTGAAGCTCTTTGTTCCCAGCCCTACAGACTTAGGTGCTGGCTAGATTTGCCCTTGGGGTCCCTGCTGTCAACACCTGTTTGAGGACACTGCCGTGGAAGGTTCCATCATTTCAGTCAGGACTTAGCTAGGCCAAGATTTCTTGTTACCATGGCTACTTCCTATGTCCCACAGGCTACAGATCCCTCCAAAGTTGCCTTGTACTGAGTCGGGGACGTGGGAGGTGCCAGCTTTTCTACAATGCGTGTCCTCTGTCCTTAATATTTCTCTGCCTGTGTGCAGGGCCATGGGTGGGCCTGCACGCAGCTGTTCCTCCTGAGGAATCCTGCAGGACTTTGGGACTGGGGTCATAGTCCTGTAGGATTTACCTCTTGTGCTCGTCTCTCTTCAATCTCCGGTAGATGCAGCGCATCTAGGTCTTGCCTGTGGCTTCTTAGTATTCTTTCCTCTTACACCATTCCACTACCCAGTGCTATAGTAGATGCTGGGCATGAGTCTTCTCCCTGATACAGCAGCACTGTACTCTAAAACAGTGGTGGGGGCCCTCACTCAGCATTCCTAAGAATGGAGCTCTGCCTCTTCGTACCTTGTTAGTATCCCTGTATCCTGCCCCAACCCCTAACCCCATGCTCTTGGTCTGGGCTGCTCTCCCCCAGTATACAAAAATCTCATCTCAAAGGGAAGGATGGTCAGATATAACCAGACTAAACTAGGGCTGCACTTTCCATGTCTCACCTCCCCAGTATGTTGGCTGAATGCCTCTTGTGTTCTTGTATCACCAAGGGAGGCAGGGTCTACCCTCCTACTCTCCCATCATCCTTTGTAAGTGCACGCGGTAGGGGGGGTCCTGGGGAAGAGCCTAGGAGGGGAGAGTTCAGCCCCCATCGGCACCCTACTTTGTAGCCACCCACCATCTTTGTCCTGACGCCTTTTTGCCCATTTGGATGGTACTTGCCACCTCTTCATCCCGTGTCCTATTTCTGGTGTGGTGGCACTGCCCTTGTCTTTCGAGAAGGGCCTCTGCTGTGCCTCCCTCTGACCTCTCAGGCTTCTAGTTATGTCAGGCTGGGAGTAGAAGTTGCCTGCTACCTCCTGCATGGACGCTGCCCTTCCCAGCCATCTGCCAACGCACAGTGTGTTTTCTCTGTCAAGTGTGGTATCTTAAGAGGGTGCATATTGGAGCTCCTTCTCCCTGTACGTACAGCCAAGGACTGTTCAGACTTTCGGTACCACAGGAAAAAATGGTGCCAGATGCACAGTATGAGCTGGGCTAGTTGTGTGATCCTTTCAGGGGTGAGGGTCCTGAGACCCTCGCTAGGTCGCAGCCTGCTTCCCGGCGTGGAGCCTCACCTACTTGTGGGTACTGACTTAGTGTTTGTCTTAACTTTTTAGACTCTGGAAGCTGTCCTGAACTTCAAGTACTCCGGAGGCCCAGGCCACGTGGAAGGGTATTACAGGAACCTGTCTCTGGGACTGCATGTGGAAGTTGAGCCCTCTGTGTTTTTCACCAGAGTCAGCACGCTTCCGGCAACCAGGTAACCGGGCTGGGTGGGGTGGGGTGGGTGGGAGGTTGTCTCATGTCACTGGTTATCTTATCTCACTGTCCGGCAGAGCCATGCCTTTGGCAGGGCAGTGGTCCTTGGTGTTAATGGGCAGCGAGGATGCTGTGCCCACAGTCCCTGTGTGTGTGTGTGTGTGGCACCCTCCCAGGGCAAATTCTTTGCTTTGCTCTGTCTGAGCCTTCATCACTGGGGGCTCTGCATAGTGCTTTGCTTGTATTTGGTTCCTCCTGAGGACCACAGCCTTGTTCTCTGTGATGCTCCTTTGGCGGGTGAGATGAAGGTTTTTGTCTCAGGGCTCACTCTCCAGCACCACAAGGACCTTCTAGCTCAGCACAGTGTCAGCTCGTTCCATACAGGGAGTTATTTCCCTCAAGGTAACGCTCTCTGTTACCAACTCCCCCAGGCCTGATCTTCTTCTTAGGAAAGGGAAGGGTGAGTTTGTCTACTTCAGGGTCACATGTGGTGAGAAAGGCCATTGGTTTTCTCTTAGGTGGAAGGTGACAGTTCCTTATCTCATACATGTACTGTGGAAGTGGTATCAATGCTTCCCAGGAGCCCTTGGGATAGTTTATATGTGCAGCTCCTGGAGAATGGGGACCCACCTCCACTGAACTCCACTGTGGACCAGGTCAGCATTGTGTATGCTTAATTGAGCAAAACAGCAGCCATAACTAACACTCATCTGTCTTTCTTTGGACATCACAAATAGCACCCTGGCCTGTGCTGTTTATTCCTTTCTTGTATTCTATAGGGTAAAATAGAGGTATGGTGTCCATCATGACGCTGACAGAAAAATCCATTTAAACGGATCTGGCTCACTTACCCCCCGGCCACTGGAAAAAGGCTTCAGCAAGAATTAATGGCTTATCTGGGCCTTTTACCATCCCTTTTCATCATCTATCACTTTTTTGGTCCTCACTGCCAAGGTGGCTTCTACTTGAATTTGTATAAAGCTTTAAAGCTCCTGCCCCCAGGGCAGATTTGGCCAGCGTGCTGACAGCCAGTGTTAGGGTGTGCCAAGCCTTCCACACATAGCTCTGCTACATCATGTCTGCCTTTCTTGCTCCTTCTCTTCTCTTGCTGCCACTGCCCATCAAGACTTCTCAGATGTGGCACAGGTTTCTATGAATTCTCTTTTGTGCCTCATTGATATATGGCTGCTACCTCATGGCCCCTGTAGGTGTAAATGGTAATTTAAGGTTGAAGTGGACTTGGAAGCATTGGCTGTAGGCTGAAGCACTACTTTGGTCTTTGTTGCCAACCGGTAGCCTTCATCTTCTCTTGGTTTGGCTGGTGTATTTCTCTTTCCAGCTCTTGGGTTTGAGAGTGCACTTCTGATTTTCCTTTTCCACTATCCCTAAATCTAATTGATCTCAAAATCCTGGGATGGAATGTCACCATTTCCAGATCACTCTGGCCACTGTGTATCCATATCCTCATGGAGGGTTGACCAGTTGGCTCCAGCCCTGCTTGTCCCCAGGTCCTACCCAGCTTGCAGACAGATCCAGTGCTGAGGAGACTGTATTCAGGGTCTCTCCCACTCTTGTTTGGGATAGACCTTCCTCTCACCTGCTTCTCCCCATGTTCCTACCAAGTTCTGGTACAGCCAGTCATACCTTTACAGCCAGAGCTTGTGTCAAGGCAGTTCACTCCTGGGGGCTTCAACTGTATCTTTTCCCTAAAAGGGTCCTATTAATAAACTACCATTCTTCTATTTAACCCTTTGGAAAACATCTGCTTGCCTTTGAAACCTGTTTGACTTCCTGTACATTTCTCTAGCAGGAGTGTGCATGTGTGCTAATGTGTGTGTGTGTGTGTGTGTGTGTGTGTGTGTGTGTGTGTGTGTGTGTGTTTCTCTGTGCTTTCCTCACTTCTCTAACACATAGTGTCATATTCCTGGGAGCACTTCTGCCCTGTTTCCAGCCAGCACCGCCCCCCCCCCCAATACCAGGTGCATCACACAGCCTCTTTGGAAACAGGGGCAGACAGAGCAACTTCTTGCTCTCCGCTAGCCTGATAGGAGCTTGTCACACACAATTAGTATGGAATGGGAATACAAATGCACACACAGGAGCAATGGAGCAATGGAACATCAGATGAGTGAATAAATAGAAAAGATCCAAGCTCCCTCTAGGAGTGGGGAGGAAGAGGAGGAGTGAGTGACTGAAAAGGATACAGACAGTACAGACTTACATGTCTATGTCCAAATTTGCCCCAGTGCAGACAGATTCAGCATTGCATTTAAAAGTGGAGCTTGTCAGACTCCATGCAATCGGAAGACATTAACTATGTGCCTCTTACAAGAAACCAGCCTCAAATGTGCACAATGTATGTAAACACTAATGTTTAGAAGGTTGGTATGAACTTATTAATATTAAACATCTGGGCTTTCAAGAGAAAGAGATGGGAAAATTTGTAGTGATTTAAGAATTGAGTTCTCAATAGCACATTACTGTCCTAAATATAAATACACTTAAAAAGATAATTTCAAAATAAAACTGGCACATGAAGGGGAGAAACAGATAACCCCATGGTATACCTGACTGTTTGAATATTATTCCCCGAGAATCTGATATGACAAGTTTACGAAACAAAACAAAACTCACAGGAAAATTGTGGCCAACCTAGACATTTTGGTTAACCAGCTCCACATAATTGTATTTATGGAAGAGTGATTGCTTATACTAGAAATTAATGGCCAAATCATTGGTGTGGCTTCTGCATCACACAAAGAAGAGTTCAATACCCCCAGAAGAAATTATAGAGAAGAAAGCATGTCAGTAAAATAGGGAGTGAAAGAGAATTTATGGAGTCAATGGAACCAAAACTGATACTTTAAAAAGATTAATAATAAAATTAATCATAACTAGGGCAATGAGTGGGGAGAAAGAGAAAACACAAATTGTTAGTAGAAGGTAAAAAAAGATGAAGGCTTCTGTGAGTTTTGTATATGCTATGTTTGGAAATATAAGAGGATACTGTAGCGAGCCTTATCCCAGTGAGTTATACAACTGAGGCAAAATGGATCAGTGTTTTGAAGGAGGAAAGTGGACAAAGTACTAAAACTGACACAAGAAGAAATAGAGTATGTGAATAGACGCTCTCTGTGAATAGACACTCTCTGTGAATAGACACTCTGTGAATGGACACTCTTTGTGAATAGACATTCTTTATGAATGGACACTCTCAACTAGAAAGTTTCCCTGAAGCGTTCTGTGGGACCCGGCAACTTCTCCAGTAAGTAGTTCAAGCTCTTAAGAAAACAAGCACAGTGCTTTTAAGGAAGCTCATTTCAAAAGCAGGCAAGGAGGAGTCCCTCCTGGACCCAACCTCATCATACTGCTGCTTTCCAGAGACACCAACCATATCACAGGAAGAAAAATCTGTAGGCCAGCAGCCTCAGGTATTCAAAGGATGAGTTGAAAGACAAAATACTAGTTGATTTCAGCCACATGTAAGGTATAATAGAGTACTAACCATTCCAGTTTATCCTAGAAATACATTTAGTTTTAAGCACTGAAAACTTAACCATTGGAATTTATCTCATTAGCAAAACAAAGGGGGAAAACCTGGCAATTGATGAAGGATGTTCTTGGACAAAATTCAATTCTTACTTAGCTGGGAACTCTATAAACTAGGGTTTCTGAAAGCTTGTCAGCACCAGGAAGTTCCTGGGCAGAGAGTCTACGGTTACTGTTGCTGCAGGGCAAGTCTGAACAATTTCTCCATGAACATGAGCCAGGCAAACCTGTCTGCTGTGAGCACTCTGTTATATTCCTTGTAATCCTTCCCAGAGCAATAAGGTTTCAAAAAGTAAAAATAATCAAAGACCTAAAAACTAGAAATGGATAGTTAAAAAAAACAAAACAAAACCTGTTGTCAACCACATGTCTGCTATTACACTGTACACATAGCCAGCTGTATTCCTGTTTATTAGCAACAATGAGAAATTTGAAGATAAAATTGAAAATAATGTTTCAATAAAACCAAAACACAAACCACAGGGATAAAGTTGTGAAAATGTGCTCTCTATCTAGAAAGTGTCAAAACACAGGGAAGAGGCTTGAATACCTGGCAAAGGACAGGCGCTGATTACTGAGAAGAGCTAGTTCCTGTTGAGATTCCAGTTTCCTCTGTATTGACTATAAACTCAAGGCAATCCCAACCAAAGTCCTGGCAATATTTATTAATTAAACCAGAAACTGGAAAGTTGTTGTTTAAAATATCTTGAAACAGAGCAGGAAATATTCCTTGACCTAAAAGAACAAAATTGGAGGAATTAAGTATGTGATTTGAAAACTTCTGTGCAGAGGCCATTGGCACCCATGAGGACTAGAGGTCAGTACACCCAGGTAGACAATTCATAAATAGACTTAGCAGAATGCACAGCCTGTTCTTGCTCCTCAAAGGAGACATAGCAAGGCAGCTTCCTGACTTGAAGCCAGAGATTTCTTAGATCCACTCAGAAAATTGCTAACTATAAAATAAAATGTTGATAAATAATTAATTTCATGAAAATTGAAACCTTATGCTTGGGCTGGCCAGAGGCTGCAAGGGGGTAAAAGCTTTTGCTATGGCAGCTAGATGCCTAAATCTGATCCTTGGGATCCAGCTAAAATGCTGGATGCTGTGGGCCACATCTGTGCCTCTAGCCCTCCTGTATTGAGATGGAAGCGTGAGAACCGCTGGAAGCTTGTGGGTTAGGTAGCCTGGAGTAGACAACGCAGCAGCAGAAGCATGGAGAGAGACTGCATCAGCCAGGTAGAAAGAAGGCAAGCAGTTCCTCCTGAAAGCTGTTCTCTGGCCTCCATGTATGTGCTCTGGCATGTTGCATGCCTGAGTGCTTTTTCTAAATAAAATAAACAAATCACACAAAAATTTACAGCCAGGCGGTGGTGGTGCACGCCTTTAATCCCAGCACTCAGGAGGCAGAGCCAGGCAGATCTCTGTGAGTTTGAGGCCAGCCTGGGCTA